TCCTTTTTCACTCTCCTCCCCTCCCTCCCTCTCACAGTCTCTCCCTTTCCCTCTGATGAAATGTCTGCCTAGGAGTTTATCAGTTTTATTAAACTTTCCAAGCAATCAACTTTCAGCATTACTGATTTTTAAATTGCATTCCCATTTTATTTCATGGATTTCCTGTCCTTCCTTCTACTTTGGGGTAGCTCACCATTCTTTTTCTAGATGGAAGCTTGTACCATTGATTTTTCAATCTTGCTCCTTTTCCAATATATGCACTTAAAGACATAAGTTGTTCTGCATCCCAGGAATTTTGATATATTGAACTTTCAATATTGTTCAGCTCAAATGCCTTCTAATCTTCTGTGTGATTTCTTTTTTGGGTCTCAAAAGTAGGTTGTCCATTTTCCAAATGCATTTTTCTTTATTGTTCTCTACTTTAATTCTGTTGAGAGAAAAAAGGCCCTGCATTGTCAATGTTTTGAAATTTGTTGAGAAATGCTTATGACCCAGAAGAGATCCACAACTGTTTGGTGCAGTGTTCTAGGCAAATCAGGTAGAGTAGCTTGGTAATCATGTTGTTCAAATCATCCATGCCCTCACAGATAGTTTTTGTCTGCTCATTTGGTCATCGTGAAGACAGTGTTTTAAAATCTCTGGCTATGATTGTAGACTCACTTATTTTCTTAAATTCTTTCAATTTTTGCCTTATATGCTTTGAAGCGATGTTAATAGTACATTTAGGATTATTAAATTTGTTATATTTTTATTATTATGAATGATCCTCTTTGTCTCTTGTAATAATTCTTATACTAAAATTAGTTTTACCTGATACTAATATGTAATCACTACATCTTTATGCATTGTTTCACTTTCAACCTACCCACCCATGTCCTATGTTTAAAGTGTCTCTTCATAATACATATAATTGTGTCTTTTCTGTTATTATTAAATTTGATTTTAAAAATCTTTTACTTCATGTGTTTAGGCCATTTATGTTTAATGTAGGAACTTATACTGGGTTTTTGTCTAGAATCTTGCTGTGTATTTTCTATTTTTCTCATATGCTCTCTGTTTGTTTTTGTCCTCCCTTCCTTATTTTTAAAATTAATTTAGCATTACCATTTCTTCCCATTAGCTCTTTAGTAATGCTCTTTGTATTATTCTTTACTAACCCCCCAGGGGATTGCAGCCTATACTTTTGAATTTCACAGACTACTTTCAATTTGCCATTTCCTAAGTAAGGAAACTTAGAATAATTCAAATCATTAGTAGGCTTTAAATATTATAGCTAACGTATTTTATATCTTGTTACACATTTACCTGTTTTGTATCTTTCTTTCTGTATTTCAGTACTTCCAACTGGAATCACTTTCCTTTAGTCTGAAAATACTTTCAGTATTCTTTTATAGTATCATCTCCTGGCTACTAGTTCTCCAGTTTTTGCTTGTTTGAAAACACCTGTATTACCCTATTTTTTTTTTATTATTCTAATGATGTTATTGCATCATTTCTAGCTTTCCTAGAAATGATACCAAGCCAACTATCCATTTTAATGTTCCTTTGAAGATTATATATCTTTTTTCCTTTGGTTAGTTTCCTTCCTTTCTCTTTCCCTCCCTTCCTCTCTCCTTTCTTCCCTTCTATTTTTGCTGGTGGTTTACCTGAGGTACCTTTCATGCTAAGCAAACATTCCAGTACACCTCCAGGTCCTCTGTGTACAATTTAAAGATTTTTTTCTTAAGTCAGGCATAGTGGTTCATATCTGTAGTTTCAGCTACTTGGTAGACTGAAGCAGGAGCATCACTTAAGGCCATATGTTTGAGAGCAGCCTGGGCAATATAACAAGACCTCTACTTAAAAAAAAAAAAAAGATTTTTTTCTCTGTGTTTTTTATTTCAGCATTTAGATTGTGATTATTTTGTTTTATCATGCATCATGCTTGAGTTTTGCCAAACTTCTTGACTTGGTGGGATGATATGTTTTCATTCAGTCTTGGATTATTTCATTTACATCTTAAAATATTTCTTGTGTTACATACTCTTGCTTTTCTTCTGGCCATACAAGAATACATATGTGAGAACATTTAACCAGGTCTCATATGTCTCCTGACCCCGGTTGGGTTTTTCCCTTATTTCTTTCTCAGCTTCAGTTTAAATGCTTTTTTAGTGACATGTTTTTTAGTGCACCAAAAATATCTTCTGCTCTGTTTGGTATGGTTTTAAACCCATCCAGTGAATTCTTATTACATATTGTAGTTCTAGATTCCAGCTTTCTATTAAAGTTGTTTATCTTTTCATTCTTTTTGTTCATCTATTCCCATTTTCCTTACTGTATTTGTAATAATTATTTAAAGTCCTTGTCCATAAACTCTAGCATCTGTGGGTCATCTTTTCTTGGCTGTGTTTGCTCTTGTTTATAGTCTCATTTTCCTGGCTCTTTCCAACTCTCATAATTCTTTATCATGTACAAGACGTTTTGTACTTCAGAATTACTGAGACTGAAGATGACTTTATTTGCTCTCAAAGAGGCTGTGCCTTTTCTGCTGTTAGGCTAAGAAGATGATGACTTCAACAAATGGAGTTGCATTGGGTTGGGTCAGGTTTTAGTTTGAGCTGACCTAGTCTGTCTCTGTTTTGTCCCTGCTTCTTGGCTGTGACCCTGTTTAAAGACTTTTGATCCAGAGCCTAGCAGATCTCTATCTCCTGATCCCTTAACTACTGTAGGAGATTTTATGTCTGCTTCTTGGAGTTTGAGGCTTAGTTCTTTATTCATGCACATTGCTTAGTGCCAAACTTTATAAATTTCTTTCAGAAAAAACCCTTTATATGACCTTTTATATGTACCAGGTTCCTTTACCTACTAGAACTTTTACCTAGAGGAACATTACTCTTGTGTGTGTGTGTGTGTGTGTGTGTGTATTACTGAGATTTGAACTCAAGGCCTCATGCTTGTTAAATGTTTGAGTACATATTTAATGCTTTTTCTTGATATAAGTTCATAAATGTGTAATTGTGTCAATAAGTATACATAGAATTTTTATAAATTTTAGGTTTTAATATTGGCAAATTTCTGAAATACTGTACTTACTACTGTAGCTTATGACATTTCCCACTTTTTGCAGTGGTATTTTCTCAATATGTGACAAGACTTTATTTCTTTTATAACATGTCTACATTCTATTTTAATCTCAGAAAATCTAAGCAATGTTAAGACATTTTCATTTATGTTTTGGCTAATGTAATAGATAGATAGATAGACATGTATATGTATTTGTATTGTTTATGTTAACAGAAAAACAGATGTAAGTTCAATTATTCATCTTGGTTGGTATAGGCACATAGGAAATACGTAGTCAGTACTTACTAATTGGCTTGTGTAAGTCTTTTTTGACATTTTCCTTTTTATAACTTTAAGGGAGAGATTCTATGTTCTTTGTTTAGGAGATACAAAAAATTTGTTGAAAAATATGCATATGAGAAAGGAAAGCATATAACATATTTCTTCTGTTACATTCTTTTTTGTTGGAACTCCCTACTTGCCTCTGAACAAAGACAAAGAACTTTAAGATGCAAATTAATATAAGATTTGTAAGACTTGACAGACTTTGAATGGCTATAGTCTGGTTGCATACTTTTTCCATTTTGGAATGGAAATACCTACATTTCTAAAAAGATAAAAATATTTTTAAATCACCTGCAGGTGAAAAATTTTTTTCATCTTCCAAAGTATGTAACTATCAGAGCCAATGGGTTAAGACAAGTACTTATTTAATTTTTATTTCTATTCAGAGACATTTGTTCTACTTAAAAAGTATGACTCTTTAAAAAGGTACAAGATCTTCAATATTCAGAAAAATGTACTTTTTGTTTGATGTTTAACTTATTTGAGACTATGGAAAATTTCAAGTGTACATAAAAGCTAAGAATATAAGTACACTATGTGCCTATCATCACTTTTCCTACTCCTGTCATTCACTTACACAGTTATAATTTAAATAAGAATCTCCTCTATCTTGGAATTATATTGCATGTTTCCTTATATAATCTGTTTTTGCATCTTTAAATGGTCTAATGGAAATTTACCTTACGTTTTTCTCTATCCGATTTTTTTAATAAGATTTCATTTTTCATGTGTTTGTCTTGGGCAGAGTCTATTAGTCTCTGGGTATTTATTTTCATTTTCTTCTTCGTGTGTCTGAGTGAAGTAATATTGAGTATCATTGCCTAGTTAAGGAGGCATGCATAGAAACCCTTTCATGGATCTAGGAAGTGTTACTTGAAAATACAGTGGATACTTAAACAGTGCAGTCCTTTCAAATGTTGCAATGTTTTCCAAGGTTGATATTCAATTCATTCATATTCAGAAAAGGGCTCTTATATTCTTTGAGCCAAAACTGCATGCTTGCGGAGACAAACCTCTGATTTCCTTAACTTCCTCCTGTAGTTGACATGCTGTTGTCATTATTTCTGTCACTCTTAGGGAAGTGACCCTTTCAGTACCTTTCCCAGGTGATTCTCCCCAATGCTTTGTATATTTTTAAGGCATTTTAAAAACCACTTTAAGAAATACATCAGGGTTTCCATATTTAATTTTTAAGATGCAGTCACATATTTCTGGTAGAGGTCAAGAGAAAACTTTTGCATCAGCATCCCTGTTTTTCTTTCTTGAGACAGGGTCTCACTGTATAGCCAGGCTGGTCTCCAATTTGTGACCCTTCTGCCTCTACCTCCTGAGTACTAGGATTACAGGTGCACACCACCACACCTGGCTAAGAGACAATTTTTTTAAAAGCTGGGGTCACTTGGTTGAAGGTGGGCTAAACAGGGAAATCAGTGGAGCTGGGGTCAAAGCCATGCAGTTACTTAAGCATTAAATACTAATAGCACATGAGATTCTGGGGAGGAGGCCAACTGAATATTTTTTGCTTAGGCACTGGAGTTATGCAAACAGAAGTTATTACACACCCAGGGTTTCATGAGTGAGAAAGTAAACTTGTACATTTGGTTTTTTTGTAGGTTCAAAAAGGCATTTGAATCTGAGCCAACTCTACAGTCAGGAATTAATTATGCAGTCCTCCTCCTGGCAGCAGGACACCAGTTTGAATCTTCCTTTGAGCTTCGGAAAGTTGGTAATTACAGCTTAATATTCTTTTCATGAAACTCAAGAACCAGGCCCAAACTTGGTACAAAGAAAAAGAACTTAGTAGCAGATCCTTTGACTGTTTACCTCATCTGACTTGCTGAACAAAAAAGTTTATGAAATCTCCTTGCTTGGCATTTCATGCTGCTGTGCAGTACACTGTTGTGATACTGGGATGTCATTCCATTCGTTTATTTTACCTACTTCCCAAACCCCTGGTTAATATTTATTATTCCAGCTCAAACTACTATTGGCCATATATGGACTCTGCATTCAGCCTCCAACTCCCAAATAAAGATAGCATTTTGTTTATTTGTGTTTTGGTGGGACTGGGATTTGAACTCAGGGTTTTATGATTACAAAGCAGGTGCTCTATCAATTGAGTCACATTTTCAGAACAAGGTTAGTGTTTTGTGGAACATCAGGAATGCCTCCTATTTAAGACTATGATTGGGCTGGGGGCATAGCTTAAGTAATAGAGTGTCTGCCTAGCAAGTGTGTGCCCTGAGTTCAAATCCCAGTGCTGTGGAAAGGAAAGGAGAGGAGAGGAAAGAGGAAAGAGGAGAGGAGAGAAAGAAAGGATGTGTGCTTTTCTTGTGTTTTACAGAAAAAATATGCAAATAACCTTTATTTCTTTTTCTCGTTCTCAAGCCATCTGCCCCTATGATTTCATTGGTCTTGGAGGTGGAGCCTCCAGACCGGATAAATGACAGTCTTTTTAGTGACAGTCCTCAGAGAGGCCTCCATCTCCATCTCTGAATTGGAGCCATTGATAGAAAATGCTTTTGCCTGTTATCTGTAGACAAGTCTGTAGATTTATTTCATCTGCTAACCCTTCTATGGAATTTAAAGAAATTATGGCATCTTTGTAGACAAATTTTGAGTGATTTTCTTACTCTTTGGCTTGCTGACACTTGTTTTAAGATTCTAAGATCTGGGAATACTTTCTGTGATGATCAGATTTTGTTCTGAGTGTCTAAGCACTCCCTCTCAGAGAACCTTTCCAACTCTTGGAGGAGTTCTTACTATTGATCTGAATAACATTGATCTTAATGAAGCTGTGCACTGTAGAAGAAATTTTTCCTTTAATATTTTTAATTGGAAATGTTTATTATTTATTTTTCCTTAAAGAAAAATGATTTCTTGGCTTTGTAGACGAATGATAAAATATAATTACAACCACTGCTGGATTGCGGTGACATTGAGGACAAAGAAACTCTATATTAAGTAATTTTTTGGGGTTGATAAATTAAATCAGAGAAAATATACTGCAACTTGTGCTTTTTATAAGTTATATTAAAATATTACATCTTAGATTAATTTAAAAGCTCTACAGTAGCCAAAACTCCTTCTATATCAGTGGTCTAATGTAATTTTTATTGCTCTATTCTTGAACTCAGAGTGAAGTTTTATTGTAGCATCTAAATCCTCACAAGCCTTGACCTTGACCTGCATATGTAGGCAGAGCAGTAACAGTGGTTTGAAAGCTACTTATTCTAAGTCTCACTTTTAACTTGAGTGTAGATTTAAGACAGTCAGCACTCTGAGGTTTAACTCTAATATAACTCTGTTAGTAAACTTTAATATTTTTCCAAGAAGAACGATGTGTTGAATAAGCATTTGAAACATGAAATTGTATTTAAAATTTTGGAATCTGCACAACATACACAGATTTAAAACATGACTTGACAATGAGTTTTTAGCTACTTTAAGAGCTAGTTCTAGGCTTCTAAAATACACTCTAAATTGCACGCCCTTCAATTATAGAAAATAGCTTACTACTTTAGGTCCTATTAAATCATAAATGATGCTAATTAAAATAGGTTGACTGAAAGTTAATTTTTGTTTTGGTGGTACCATGGATTAAAATCAGGGCCTCATGTTTGCTAGGCAAGTGCTTTACCAATTGAGCCATCCATGCCCCCCCACCCCTGGTTCTTCTTTTGCTTTAGTTTGGTTTTCAAATAGGGTCTCTCACTTTGTCCCAGACTAGCCTCATACCTTGATCCTCCTACTTCTGCCTCTCAAGTAACTGGGATTACAGGCATAAACCACTATGCCTGGCTAAAATTAATTTTTATATGATAAGATAGGACTAAATTGATTTTCAAGGAAAGACAGGTTGGCTAAATAAATTAATAGGTTATTATAATGATAGCAATCATGTATAAGGAAAACAAGACTAAATAATATATTTGGCATATTTTAAAGATATTCATTCTTTAATTCATTCTCTAAATGCTGTAACCAAATTTCCAGTGATTTGTGTCTCCTCTCATTCCTCCTGTTGGCCTCTCCAAACATATAAATTAATCTGAATTACTAATACAATAATTTTTTTTATCTTTTTTGAGACAGGATCTCACTATATAGCCCAGACTGGTCTGAAATTCATTATGTAGCCCAGGCTGGCCTCAAACCCATGATCCTCCTGCCTCTGCCTCCCAAATGTTGAGATTATAGCATGTGTCACCAAGCCTGGCTAATCAGGCTTTTCTTTATGAAATCCCTTCTTTAGCTGCTTTTTGAAATTTTGATTCATTTATGAAAAGAAAACAGTTGAAATTAAAATGTCATAAGATCACTGATTTTAAAGCTTTCTAAACATATTATCAGGTTTAAAAATCTGTAATATAAAAATCTCTAATATAAAAAATTCTTAGTTGTCATACTCTGTTGTCTAAAGATTCTGTTAGTCCATTTTATGTTGCAGTTACAAAATGCATGAGATTGACTGCTTTATAAAGAAAAGATGTTTATTTAGCTCACCATTTGGAAGCTGAAAGTCCAAGATCTGGTGGCCTAGTTGACTTGGGTTCTGGTGAGCACCCCCTGGGCTGTATCACTTCATGGTAAATGTCATCACAGTGGCAGCATCTGCAAGAGGGAGGATCACATGGTGATTCCGGGGTCATGCTTGTTCACGTACAACAACAACTCACTCTTGTTGGATCTAACCAAGATGCCACGAGAACTTTGATTCCTTCTGAGGAATGAGGACAGCATCTTGAATGACCTAACCCTCCCACAAAACTCCACCTCTTAAAAGTTCTACCACCTCCCAACACCACTCTGGGGGTGGGGGGTAAGCTTCCAACACGAGCCTTTAAGAGATGCACACATTCAAACCATATCCAAACCATTGCACACTCTTTATTTCAGTTGTGTGTTTGTTTAAGGTTATGACTAATTGCTTCATGGGTCTGTGTTTTACTCTCCCAAGTTTTAAATAATCATTGATGTTTAGACTATTTAGAACTAGGACTTAAAACCCAAAGTGAAGTTTTATGTCTTCTTTCTATTTTCAGCTTGACAAGTCTTATTAATATTCAGACTTCAGCTAAATAAAAAAAAAGTCCACATGCTGTGAAATTTTTTAACCATAAGACATTTTATGGGGGAGAGTCAGAATTATAGGTTTGGGTCCCTAACAGTAATGATGATGTAGTAAAAGAACACTGTTTGGAATTTGAGACAAACCACTACTTGAACCTTATTTTCAGTGAGCATTAAAAATTATTGAATATAAAATTTATACTACTAAGTATAAAAATCCATGAATCTATAATCAAGAGAAAATAAAACAAAAAAAAATCCTTCACTAACCACAAAGAACTCCTTCGTCACCTGTGGAGGTCGCCAATTTCTTAGAAAATCGGAGGTTATAAGGAAAGAATTAAAGTACTATTCCTTCCTTTTAAGGAAATATTACGGTTTATTCATCAATGAAGTATAGCTCTTCTTGAAGTAAGCTGTGCATAAATGTATTACTCATAAGAAGAAAATTCTTCCTAAGAATGCTAGTTAGTAAAATACAACCAATGATACAACTGATGATAACTGATATTACGGTAATGGACTGAATCATCAGTTAGAACTAAAACCATTAATTGAAAATATTCATTTTTAAAAAACATATACATCTTACCACGTTTACATGGTACCAAAGCTAGTTTACAGATTGCTCATTAGTCACAAAGGAACAAACGCATCTCTACAATGGAAGGATTCAGCCAACAGTGACCAAACTCACATGACTATTTCAAGTGATTATTATTCTTACTATGGGCCTCCTGATATGATGTAATACACAGCATCTCTTATGAAATATTCTCACCAAAAATGTTTAAGTGAAATCTTAAGATCTCAATAGGAATCAAAAGATCTAAAGAAAAAAGTCTGACAATACCACAATGTGCCATCAGAAGTCTAGAATATGAGGATATTCTACAAGACAGCACCCCCTGGTCATTTAACAAAATCTGTGTCATAAAAAGAAAAGTATGGATGGATTAGTTAGATTGCAAGAGATTTACAAACAGAAATACTGAGTATAATTAAATGATGCTGGTTTTGGAGAAAAACTATAGGAACCATTTGGTGAATAATTAGGGAATTTGAGTCAGGACTGGATAGGAGATAATATCTGATATTATCTTGTTAGGTGCAATAATGGAATAAGATATATAGGTATCTTATAATATTTAAGAGTGGAATGTATAATAATGTCTGTAATTTAATTTGAAACTGTTCAGCAAAAATATTCAGCAAGAAAGCAATAGCAAAAGGTTAATTGTTGAAAATAGACTTTCATTTATATAGATGTATACACATATGTATGAATGAATATATATATGTGCTTTTGGCAGTGCTGGGGATCAAGCCCAGGGTCACTGCATGCTAGGCAACTGCTCTACCACTGAGCTGCAGCCCTAGCCCCTCGTTGTTGCTTATTTTCTACTTTCATATACATTTGAAATTCTTCACAATGGAACATGGAAATGAGAAGAATCTGTCGCCACCACTTATGATGGGTTGCTAAACCTCTCTGGACTTTGCTTTCCTTATGACAAAAGGAACATATTCTCCAACTCGCTGCACTGTATTAATGAAAAGAGTCGACATTTTCCATGTGCACAGTGTTGGGAACTAATGAGTATTCTGTAGGAGCGCCGTTCTCTCTTTGTGAGAACAGCCTTGAGTCTAATAACAGCTACACGGTAATGAAACAATGATAAAAACTAAACTACTGAAAAAATCCTCAATGCTTATAGTCATCATGGGGGAACAGATTTTATACATCTTGTGCAAAGAAGATAGACGCTCGTTCACAAAAGAAACACAAATATATGAAAAGATAGTCAATCTCAGTGGTTAAAAAGTGCAATGTTTTAGCCTGTAATCCCACCACTTGAGGCTGAGTCAGAAAGAATGTGAGTTCAGGGCTAGTCTGGGCTACATAGCAAGACTGTCACAAAAGCAAAAATAAAAATAAAAAAGCAATTTTCCTTTTCCCCTCATCAGATTGGCAGTGGTCAATGTACACGATCACTCTCTTTTGGGAAGGGTTTGGGTGAGGGGTCCCTCGAGGGAGGGTGTTCATCAGAGTAGCACTTCCTCAGGGCAGTTTGGCAGAATGTATCAACACGTAAAGTGGAGATATCTTTTATCTCTAACAAATCCATGTTTAAAACTTCATGACAAGAAAAAATTGCACAAGTGCACAAAGCTATGTGCTCGGGAACATTTATGACAATAGGACATGGCCTTCCACCAGCGTTTGGTTAAATACGTTGTGACATGTCCATGTGCTTAAAACACCATGTGTCATAAAAAAAGTAATACATTTTGTCCACATGTTGAGTGGCTGGGTGCAACATGACCCATTTATGCCATGGCCAAACCAAAATCATAAGAGTTTCTGTGGTAGAAGAAGTCTAAAATTTCATGGAGAACTTCTTTAGCTTTATTGTTAGACCCTTTCATAGTGTCTGTCTGGAAGTTCACCATCACATTTCTTTGCTAGACTGGTCCCAAGCCTGCTGCTCTGTAAGTAAGATGCAAGAAAAGTTCCAGCTGAGCATGGTGGTGGCAGGTTCTTAGCGCCCAATCTTTCTCCACCCCCCGCATTTTTCCCATATTTGTTGCATCTTTTTTAGTGTGTCCAGGTGGAAGGTCCTGGATGTTGTTGCATAGACAGGTGTTAATTGTTTTCATCTCATGAAACTTGCAGATGGCAAAGCTGATTTTAGCTTATTCTCAAAATGTGAAGAATTCCCAAATGCTCTTTTTTCTCTGAATTACTTATGGTTTAAGTGAAATTATATACTAAAAAGTAACTTTAAAAAATTTAAAGGTTATTTTGTTTTAAGTATAATTTTCAAAAAACAGGTAGAATTATGATTCTTGGGAAATATAGAAACATATAAAAGATTTTATTTAACCCAATTAGTGTGTAAACCAATAAGAGTATATGTCAGTTCAAAGACCATTTAAGAAACTAAGGTTTTCATAGACTGTTTAACAAGGAAATGTTAGGATAAGAGTTCTGAGTTTGATTTTCTTTTAAAGCTGGTTTATGTCCCACAGGATATAAAGCTTGGGGACCAGTTCCACTAGGCAGACATTGTTTGCATCTCTACTTAATAAAACTCGACAAGCAAACTGGTGTTAAGTCTGCCTTTAATAAGCTCAATGGTCATTGAGTGGCCTCATGCTTGCTTGTGATATTGAAGTGCTGTGCCCCTACCTTTTCTCCCTGTTTCCAAATCTCACATTATTTTTATAGTTTAATGTAATCAGTGTTAGCAGTCTTAAACAATTGTACAAGGATATATTCTTTTTAAGCAAATAAATAAAATGCAATAATACAAGACAGATGAAAATTTATAATCAAATGCAAAACACCTGGAAAAACCAATGTTGAACAGTTGGTGAGTTCACATTAGCTCATTTCATGCTTGTTAGAAAGTGATGGTAATAAAAAAAAAGTGTTGTCTGCCAGTCTTTAACTTTGTAACTGTAAAATAACTGTGTTTATATACAAATCATTATTAATTATTGTAGCATTTCATTCTTGCAAAAGATATATATATTTCTGCTTCAAGGCACTGATAGAATTTCAGCCTACAAAACAAGGTTTCCCTTTCAGGTTGCTTAAGACTCCATGATCTAATAAGAGAAGAGAGGAGGTCATACAACAATGGGCTGGGTATTCTTGCCTTTTAATTTATGCATATTTGGACATACATACAATTTCCCCACTGAAGTACTGAAGACAAACACAGCATTTACTTTGGTTTTCCGACTAAGGGATATTTTTCACTTTTATTCTGTGTGCCTTTTTGTTAAACACTATCTTTTCACAATGAGCTTAAACCACTTTAATAATCAAACTTAAAGCAATTTTAATCTTAAAAAGAGGACAAAAGCTTAACTTTGCTTTGTAGTGAAAAATTAGCTCTCCCTGTGTGTGGTGTGTGTTTGTGACATTCTGCTTTCTGTTCATTTCCTAGGAGTGAAGCTAAGTAGCCTTCTTGGTAAGAAGGGAAACTTGGAAAACCTCCAGAGCTACTGGGAAGTTGGATTTTTTCTGGGAGCTAGTGTCCTGGCCAATGACCACCTGAGAGTCATTCAAGCATCTGAAAAGCTTTTCAAACTGAAGACGCCAGCATGGTAATAATAACCTCTTGGATAGAGCACAATGGTTCATGCCTATAATCCCAGGTACTCAGGAGACAGAGATATGAAGATCACAATTTCAGATCAGGTCAGGCAAAAAGTTAGTGAGCTCCGCATCTCAGGATAAAAGCCAGGGGTGGTGGTGCACATCTGTAATCTTAACTACTAGAGAGTCATAGGTAGGCAGATAGTGGTCTGAGGTGGGCCCCAGGAAAAAATGTGAGATACTTTCTGAAAAATAGCTAGTAACAATTAGATTATTTTATTTATTATTAGCACCAAATCCAGAATTTAGAGAAAAATGCAATGTTCATAAAGAAAGCATGTTGGCTGAAGGTTCTGATGATTTTGCACAAGTGCTAAACTAGTCACTTAGCCTTTGCTGCACACTGACCAGCCCACTGTGCTAGCCTAGGCAGTGTCACCATGTAAACCATGCAGAGGCCACACATTCAGTACCTGCAAAACTGAGCCACACTCGGTCTGAGACCACATGTCCAGCTCAGCCCCTCGTTTCCTTCATGGTCTACTCGAAGTTTTGTAATTTTCTTTCTTGGTTTTCATTTCTTTTTATTTAAGAGTATGATGATGACACTGGAGTGTTTTGTATATATGTGTGTTTTTCTAATGTCGCACTGTTCTTGAAATGAACCCAAGTCTCATCATTATCCGTGTGGTATTAGAGATGAAAACAAAATTCCATCTGCATTTAGGGCCATTTTGAAAAGCAGCAGTAGTTTTATTATGTGTCACATGTAATAGTTGACCATTAGCTCTAAAGACTTAAAAAGATGAATGATATAGAGAAAGGCTCTTTCCAGAGCAGCTCCAAGCTCGGGTTCTGACTGGCCGCATCCCAAGAGCCATTTGAGGAGGTGGCAGCCACAGTAAGACCTCAGCCTTCTGAAAGGACTTCCTTCAGGTGTCCTTCATTAACCAGGCTTCCCCTTTCTAGAATGCAAGCCTAACCTTCCCCTCCACTGAAATCCTTAGATCCACACAGCTTATTGAGTTCTCACAGGCTGAGGGATGAAGTCCCTTTCCTTGCCTGGCAGACAAGGGTTTCCTTCAGCCACCCCAGTCTCAACTCTTGTCATGGCCCAGGGTTTAAGCAGCCCTCTCTCCACACAGACTTGCCCAGCTGCAGTTGTGCATGTCTGTGTCTTGGCACCGCCTAAGGATACCTCTTCCTGCCCCCTTATCTACCTTATCTACCTGTCCCCTACCTACACCATCTGCAGACTCTTGACTTCAAACCTAGCTCAGCCCGTCTTTTCTTTCTTTCTTTCTTTTTTTTTTGCTATTGTTCAGTCAAGTCTGTGAATGTCGATTGTGTGACTTCTTTAGTCAGACTTAATCACATCTCCACTATGTGTCATAACACTCCCCACACCACTGTGAGCAACTTGAGAACGGGGGCTGTTCTAGCAGTGTCATGTCCACAGTGGGATTCACACGGAGTAGACAGGCCAATAAAGAAGCTCACTTGCTCCTTTCAGCACGATGAGCTTTGTTTTTTGAGGAGGAGTCCGATGGCAGAGGAGGAGCAAGAAGCACAGGCGGAAAGAGAGTTGGCTTCAGGCATCCTGGCTTCTGTTAACAAGAAAACAGACACCGTTTATGAAATAGTGAAAACGGCCATAGACAATTTTTATGGACTGTCAACTCCATGTTTATATTCTGCAAAGAGCTTTTGATCCCATTCTCTTGTACACTTATTTTGCTCCTCATTTTTCCCTGGAGGCACCATCTGTCTTCTTGTTTGAGGGAATTTATGTAACATATAAGCTCTGTTGCTTCAGAGCAAACTAATCTCTTTTGAAGACTCTATTTCAGAAAGTTTCTGTGAAGAAGTGTATTTTCAAAACATTCACTCACCTCATCCATGAATAGAATATAAATATGTAAAACTCATGTTTTAAGTAGGTGATTGACCCCAGCCCAATTTATCCAAGCCCTCCAAGCCTCACTTTCCTGATCTCTGAAATGGGCATAAAGCCTACTATATTGATTTTTTTTCATGATATTAATAATTAATATGTGAAAGAACAGGATATATAATAAATAATGAATAATGTTTGATGACTCCAAATGCAGATTTATTAATGGCGTGTATAAATGACACAGAATAAAGCTGGGATACATGGGAACAGGTAGTCCTAAATTTACCTGTTATGTGTTTTGTATCTTTTAATTCTCAGGTACCTCAAGTCAATTGTGGAGACAATTTTGATATATAAGCATTTTGTGAAACTGACACCAGAACAGCCTGTGGCCAAGGAAGAACTGGTGGACTTTTGGATGGATTTCCTGGTTGAGGCCACAAAGACAGATGTTACTGTAGTTAGATTTCCAGTGAGTAGTCTCTGTTTAAATTGAAGTTCATTTCTGTGGTTTTTGCCTTAAAGAACATCTTGTGTTGGGATTAGAGCAGGTGCACTGATTATCCAGCCCGAACACTGCCATGACCTGGTTCACATATCTATGTCCTGCAAACTGGTTTGCTTTCTATTTTTCATTTTAAATTTTAATTAAAAATTTTTTTGAGACAGGGTCTTTTTATATAACTCAGGCTATCCTTGAACTAGCAATCCTCCTGCCTCCAAGTTCCCAGTGCTGGGATTATAGGCATGCACTGCTATGCCCAGTTTAGCTTACTTTTAAATCAGATAAATGAGATACATTGTGATGTTTTCTCCAGAAAGTTTGAGTGGCTCCTTTGATAAGTAGGTAAGTATGCTTCTGAAACAATGAAAAGATTGCCTCTTGGTTAACTCAGTAAGCCCTGGTGGCTCTTCAGCCCAAATGGGTGGTGCTTTTAAATATTGCTGTTTTGATGACATTGTCTTCAGGATTATCATCATTATTGTGGTGGGAATTGTCAGGCTCACATGTGTTGCTGCTCCACCTCTGCCACCCGTTGCCCAGGTGGGCCGAGTTACACATATGGGGCAGAGATACATGTGTGGGATTCCAAGGGAAATAACAACTTATAGTATGGAGTCAGCAACCCATTTCTCTTAGTCTGTAGCAGACTTTACATATGTGCATATACTTATAAATGTGTGTGTGTCTATAGACGTGTAACACATACACACACACACATACGTACTTTTTTAGATGTAGTGCCAGCTGGTGCCATCCCCATCCTGATAGCTCTTAGAATACCACAAGAAGCAATATGGCTTTGCATCCAGTTCAGGAATTACTGGCAACTTACCACGTGTACACCTTTCTTTCCATGTCAAAGTGATGCCATGAGTCTCTTGCTTTGAGCTCTCTGATCTCAATCATCCACACTCAGAGGGGCTGACAATTCTCAATTCTCAAAGAGAACTTTGATTTCTAGGTTTTATTGATGGGATCATCTGCTTTGAGTAATTATATCCATTGCTGGCACTGATATGCTTAACTTGCTTTCCAGATAAAGCCTTGAGCCCAGCAGGATCCTTAATTGAAAAGCCTTTTAAACTAAAACACTGCACTTTATCTTCCAGCCTAGATAAGGCATAGCCTAGGAAAAGACTTATCTTACAGAGAGCTGGCAGCTTGCCTTCCACTGGTGCCACAACTAGCAATAAATATGGTGGTGAAAGAAGAGGGGACTTAATTGACTATTGACTTGATCAACTAGAAAACTGGCCATGAAAGGAAACCATTCATATTAGCCATTTTCAACTAATTTAAATTCCTTCACTATGAATTTGTCTGTTATATAAATAAATGAATGTTAAAAATAAAACCCAGAAAATATTAGGCAAGAAGTCATGAAATTATAAGTATAAACTCCAGGTTAGAGAGGCTTTCTTAAGCAAGAAAAGATCCATATGCCCTAAAAGAAAATATTCACAAAATTGATTTCATTTAAAAATGGAGAAACTGGGGATGTAAATTAGTGATAGAGTGCTTGCCTAGCATACATGAGGCCCTGGGGTCAATCCCTAGCACTGCTAGGAAGGAAGGGAGGGAGGGAGGGGAGAAAAGAGAGAGAGGAGGCAGAGAGTGATGTTTTGGAAGACTAGGAAGTCAGGCGTGCAGCTTGAGTTAACAGCTGTTCTCTGTAGCAGGTAGGTCTTGCTCTCTTCTTTCCTGCTTCTGATATGTGAAGTTAGCATTTAACTGTAATGCTGGCCAGTGAAAAGACGAGAAACTAAAAGCAAGAATACATAGCTTAAGTGAGTTGCATCTAGCTCTGTAGCAGTGTCAAATGCTTCCTTTCCCTTCCTTTGTTTCTAATTTCTCAGCGTTTTTGTGATCTCTGTAATGTCTGCTGCAATGTCTTCCTCACATTTTGTCATTTCAAGGGCATATCAAAGGGCTCAGCAAACATTAGACAATGATAATTACAACCTTGCTTTTATTCCCTGTTCCAAGTTAAGAACACATTGGTCACAGTTTATCTATTAGAAACATTTGAGACAGCAAGAGAGAGACGCTTTAAGAAGAAAGGAGCTCATTCATCTAGGGCTGTGCTTTTTACCTTTGCATAAAGCATCCCCACAATTAGGGAACAGAGCTAATCTATTTGTCAGGGAAGAGACTTGGGCAAGTTTTGGGAAACCCACCTTTTACTCTCTATTATTTATTTTAATGTCATAAACACTGGATTACTCAGCTATGAGAGCACCATTTCTACAATGCTGGGATTGAAAGTCAGCTTTCAGCATTGAGCAGTAGGGTTGAACTCTGTTGGCCGCACCTTGGCCTTTGAATCACCTGGGGAGCGAGTATGTTCCTGAGGTAGAGTTGCCTGTCCTTGTGTAGCCTGTCTTATTGTCACAAGAGAGCCTGACTGAGAATACAAGGAGTAAGTAAAGAAAATGTTTTTCTAGTGCCCCCTTTCTACTTCTCTGTACATTAACTTACATAAATGTACTCTTATGATAAATTTAGAGTAAAATGAATGCTTTGGGTTCAAGGTAGGTGGCCTGAAACTAGTTTTCTGACCCAGATTCTTGTGCTTTCTTGCTCCAGCAGCACTGTAATATTTTAATGTATTGTGAATCTGTGATTTCCTACTGACAGAGCCCTCGTAAGTCCCCCCCACCCCCCACATTTTTATTTGGTAAACTTGCTTGAGTCAGGATTAGCTCTGAAAGTAGCTCTTGATTCTTAAGCAAGCAGTGGAGTACGAAGAACTATTTCAGCTTCCCTATAGTGAAGTATAGGCTTTTTGTTAAAAAAATATTTTTACTAAAGTCTGCATTGAAATAAAACATTGGGACTTGGACTAGGAGAGTAGCTCAAATGGTAGAGTGCCTGCCTAACCTGAGCAAGGCCCTGAGTTCAAATCCCAGTATCTCAAAAAACTGGGTCTTTAAGCATCTGTACATAAAGGTAACAATTACAGAAACTTGGAAATCAGGGCATATCTGGTATTTTAATGTTATTTACTGTGATGTGAAATATTTGTAATAATATAACCATTCATGCCACTCTTTGGAGGCAGATTCTCAACTCACTTATCATATATTCTTCACCTCCAAATTTGAAACAAATTTTATTTGTCTTTTTCCCTAATAAGGTTAACTATATCATTATTGAAAATGACAATTGGAGGTAGTACAAAAATATTTGTATTATTTCATACAGCTGCATCCATTTCTTGGGTTATATAAACCCTTTTATATAAACTCTTTTTAAAAAATTATTGTTGTACTGGGAGTACATTGTGACATTTACCAAAGTTCTATAATATATCATAGTTGAATTTACCCCCCCATCATTGTCCTTCATTCCTCCATTCCTGGAATAGTTTCAACAGATCTCATTTTTTTCCATTTTTATACATGAGTACATAGTATCTCCACCATATTCACCCTCCTCCACCCTTTTCTTATATCCTCCTCCATCCCATTGGTGCCAACCCCCAGACAGGACCTGTTTTACCTTTCTGTTCTCTCTTTTTGAAAAAAAGACGTTTTTGCTTATTTAAGATAGCTATATAGGGAGTTTCCTTATGGCATGTCCCTGTGTATATGTATTGTAACTCAAATTGGTTTATCCCCTCTATTTTTCTCCTTTCTACCTTAGTACCATTCTTATGATGATTTCAAGAGGTTTAAAAATTCTATATTCATTCTCGTATCGAAAGTACAAAACTCTTTCAATAATAGCCAAAATTATTCCTAAATGCATTTTCATGAAGTGAAAACCATACTACTCCCTCTTTATGGTAAAGTATGACAAGAGGAAACCTAAAGTATATGATATTCTGTATATGAAATCTTTTCTGTGCACAGAATTGAGCTGCTTTGTTTCTGCCTTTCTTTGACAAATTTATATTTGGAGAAATAGATTAGGTACCAACGATAAAATATAATCTTTTAAAAATGTAACATTAATAGATTCTCTTTGAATAACTGAACTAAAACATAGACCTCAAAAATTATTTCCAAGTTCATTAGCAATAAACAGTGATGTTTTATTGGACCTATGATAATTGTATAATAACATAAAATGATCATGGATCTCATAGGAGTTGTCAGAAGTTACAATGGGTCACTCCAGCTATAGATTCAGGGCTTCATTTGATAATCTCCCACGTAGACACTGGGTGGTTATAGCAGCAATAAGTGGTTTAAATCTTAAGTCACTAAAATGAGTTTCTTTGCCTTATCTTTTCAAGGTCTTAATATTAGAACCAACCAAAATCTATCAGCCTTCTTACTTGTCTATCAACAATGAATTCGAAGAAAAGACAATATCTATCTGGCATGTGCTTCCTGATGACAAGGTAAGTCATACAATTAAAATAAGAGTGTTAGTAATGAAAGACTTAACGCCCTTCTGGTATTTCTGTGTTCTAGTGAATTTCTGTTAGTTAAGAGGAAGTAGCTTAATAGGATTTCTCTAAGCATAAATTCATTCTCTAATATCAAATTTGCTAAATTTGGGTTATGAATTTCACTCAATTAACAAAATATAATTGAACCTTTGGATTTTTATTATAGATAGCCTAACTATTAAAATTATACTTAAAATAGAGATATTTCTGTTTTGTAAATTCATGCCAAAAATTAAATTATGCATCAAAGAACTAATAATTAAAATATATGTTGAAAATGATATGTACCTTAATTTCAGAAGCCTGTCAGAATAATGCAACTTCTGGTCTTACACTGTACCTTTACAGTTACCATTACATCTAGCTGTTTGGTTACCTCAGTAGTGGTAAATCTCAGATTAGCCACTAACTCCATGTACTATGCCCAAAATGAGGGGAGCTGGGCTGCCCTTGTTTCTAGAAGGATCTTAAGCACTCTCATCTCTGCTCTCAGCAGGCATGTTCCACAAATGGGATTGAAAAAGACCTAAACTTTTGAAGATCTCTGTGTGCTTCTGATACAGCCATGGTTGAGAACAAGTTTAATAGGGGATGAAGGCATATTAAATTAGTTGTAGCCGCTGGTGAAGAATCAATATGTCCATGACTTTATGACAAAACTGGGCCCAAGGATGGTGTTTTTCAAAGTGTAAGTCCCTGGAACATTAGCATTCAAGTTACCCAAGGAGCTGGTTTAAAATGCAGATTTCTGGGGCCAGGCATGGAAGTGCATACCTGTAATCCCAACTATTTGTGAGGCAGAGATAGACGATCACAGTTCAAGGCTAGCCCAGGAAAATCATTAGTGAGACCCATCTCAACAAATAAACTGGCTGTGGTGGCAAATGCCATAGTCCCAATTACTCAGAAGGTAAAGATGGGTGAATTACTGTGTGACACCAGCCTGGGCAAAAGTATGAGACCATACCAGAGAAACAAAATAAAAGCAAAAAGGATGTAGTTCAAGTGGCAGAGCATTTACTTAGCAAGCCTGAGACCCTAAATTCAGTCCCCAGAGCTGCCAGAAAAAAATGCAGGTTTCTAATCTTCATATCACACCTACTAAAGAGAGTCAGAACTCACGTGTGTGAACTCACTGCCTTAGGAAGTTTAACACAGCATGTCTAAAATCTAGCAGAAAGAGTTTCCCTTGTTCTGACATGTCCAAGTCAGTTGGGACAGACCCTTCCCAGATGTGACCTCTATCAGAGTGGCAAGGATTCACCTGTCCCAGTGCCACAGTTTCTAGAAAAGGCAGTGTCTGTGTTTAAAACGAACAAATAGATACAGAGCAGAACCCAAAATGCATTGTTATCTATATTTTAAGTTGTTACATGTTCGCTAAGGTTAGTCGTGCTGGTCTTGTAACTTAGTAATGTAGCAGGCATGCTAAGTGTTGTTAACATGACATTGTAGAATAAGCATAGAGAATAGCATCCATCATCAACAGCAAATATGTCTGCCAGCATTGAGAAATACCAAGTGACATCTTTCAAAACTGGGGCATTTCAGACCCAGTTTGTGGAACATTGTCCTCATTGACACTTTCACAAGACAGTTCTAGATTGGCTGTACCAGAATTTTAGAGAGACTCCACTCATTCATTGTAATAACTAAAGACCATCACCCAACAAACCCCGGTTACACATGCAGTCTGTGTCACTGTGAGCAGAGTCAGAAATCTGACTTGTCTTCATTATTATGAGTGCCAATTGTTTAACACTTAAAAAATCACTTAAGCATTTATTCATAATGGAAAACTTCCATGGCAATGTTAGGACTCTATGATGGACTTTCAGATAAGACGTAGCTTCCCATTATACTCACTTTCTTGAAGTGATAAAGACTGAAAGAGCTGGGCGCCTGTGGCTCACACCTGTAATCCTAGCTACTCAGGAGGCAGAGATCAGGAGGATAGCAGTTCAAAGCCAGCCTGAACAAATAGTTCAAGAGATCCTATCTCGAAAATACCTAACACAAAAAGGGCTGGTGGAGTAGCTCAAAGTGTAGGCCCTGAGTTCAAGTCCCGGTTCCACAAAAAAAAAAAAGTGTTACAGCCCTCCACCTGTAATATTTCTTACATGTAAGATAAAGAGCTCTTTCCCTATGCACCATGCTACTTCTGAGGAAACACTGTTGAGATAAGCCATGACACTGATGCTTCATGTCTGTAAGTGACTTGAAAGTTATTTGGACCTGGGGATTGTGCTGGTTTACAGGGAGGACCATGTGAGTGCTTGGTCTGTGAAGTTCAGTGAGGAGGGAGAGCAGTGGGGCATGGAGTCCTTAGAGAAGACTTCAGAAACCAAGTAGATCCTGGGCTTTGACTCTGGGTAGGACTAAAAGAACTAAAGGAGCAAGAGAAGACAAGCAGGTTAGAAGAACAAGGCAGAATTCCAACAAAGACCCCCAGAATGAGGAGGAGCATGGGATATTCAGGGCCTGGGAAGAGCCTGATTGGCTTGCTAGGAGGAAGGCATTGGGGGTGGTGGGAAGTGTGGTTGGGTAGACAAGATGACATTAGACAATAAAGTACTCCTGGGCCAGGAAAAAGAATTCAGACATGTATTGGCAGGAAGCAGGGTGCCATTGAAGCTTTTTCAAGCTGAGGGCAAGAAGGCAGAATACAGTAGTTAAGAACATAGGGTCAGTGTAACTGCACAGGTGTGGAGGCCAATGTCCTCACCTGTTCTGTGACCTGGGTGCTCCATTTAAACTCTTCGTGCTATAGTTTTCATATATGTATTATGTAAGAGTACTTCTTGGGATTGTTGTTGTGAAGACTGGGTAAAATAAGTATCATAAATTTTGTTTAACACAGGGATAGCAGAACAAGTGCTCAGTAATGGTTGCCATTATAGCTATAGGATTTATCTGGCCTTGACATTAGAGTTCAGAAGGCTAGCACTCTGGAGTATCACAGAGAAGACTGATAGAACTAGCTAGACATGAGGCAGGTAGAGACCTTACACTGGGATAGTGTGAAATGTGTGACTTAACCACCTATAAGGAAGAGGAATTTGCACTGATATCACTGGTGGAGGGATTAGAAGGAAAACCTGAGTTGTGAAGGAATCATAAGGAATTTCATTTAGACTTGTCTAATTGGAGCTAATGGCATGACTCCATGTACAGTCATCCACAGACACAAGTGAGAATAATCAATGCAACTAGATGTACATGTTATTAATATTAATTTAAAGTGTAGTGTTGTATTTACATTACTTTAAAAGTATATAGAGACATCTCACAAACTCAAGTTTAGTAATCTTCCAGTTGAAACTCTGGAGACTTGGGATGATGAGGAGATACGCTATTACAGAGAGAGAGAGAGAGAGAGAGACTGGGAGAGATTTTCAAGGCTTGATCAGAAAGAGCAAGGTTACCCAAGGACACTTGGAAACACAGGGGCTAAAGGAATTAGCAATTAGCAAGGCCAGAGAGTGAGTGGAGAGCCAGTGGAATCTGGAAGACAGAAAAAGAGCAGAGTAAGCCAGAAATTTTTGGAAAATGAGTACCATTCCCAGGCAGTTGTCACTGTTCACCCTTCCAGGAGGTTCTCCATTCAATGGAGTAAGCCTCTTATTGATTCTCATATGCGTTGTGACAATCATAGAGACAATTTTTATATTATGCCAAGAAATAAAGAGAGTGGGCTAGAAATCAGTAGATTAAGAAGGAGTACAGATTTAGACTGTGAATTTCCAGCTTCCATTTCACCATCTTTTGATCAAGAAGAAATAAATTTGCATTATTCCCATTCACTGTAACTTTCAGTACTAAAATTCTCCTTCTCTAAAAATTTAAACTTTCTTCGTCAGTTTCCATTTTGAGTTTATGTTGATTTATTTGTAAACCCTCATTTTATTCATAGTGTATTCATTACTACCATCATTTTCTCTATTTTTTAAAATAGAAGGGATAAAATTGGAAGGAAGACTAGCAATAAAAATAACTTTATTACAACCTGTTAATTTAAAGAAATTGTAAAACTGTAATTTAGATAAGCAACTGGTTTAACAAGTCTGATGTTACACACAGGAAATGGGGTGTTTTGATAGAAAATGTCTTAAAAATTTTTCTGAAAACTGTAACAGGGAATGCTACTTTCATTTATCATACTGATTTCTTTACTCTCAGTAATTTTGCTCTCAAATGTGGAATAAACAGTTCCACTTTATATTGCAGTTTTTCAGAACTTTAAACACATTATATGCCAATTCCCAGGGACTCTTAGAAAGCTACTCTACATTCCGGGGAAAAATTAATTGAATCCCAGTACTGCACCACTTCTCCCATAGATGGCTGCTGCTTAAAGTCACTTAGTACTTGAAGAATGTCTGCGTGGGTGAAATAAAAGGAACACAGACTGAGGAAGAGAAGTTACTTGCAAGATATTGTATACAGTTATTATTTAGAATCCTCTTCTTTTGAGGGTTGGAGTTTAAGCACCCTTGGCCTGTCTGGTGGCTTCTCAAGCACAAGTAGCAGGTGGCAGGGGCCCAGCTCCAGCCAGTGGCCACTGAGAAGACCCAGGAGCTGTGTGAGGGGAACATGTTCAACCCAGGTTCCAGAATATGATGGTGGATGTGCTCCCCATTAATGAAGTTTTCAACCACAAAACTCCCAACTGAAACAGTTTAAATGATCAGAAAATGGTATTTTATATCACAAGAAACTCCGGGATGGATTCATTCCGAGGGGGATTTCGGGGTCAGAATTCAGAATTGGTCTCTCTCCATGGTCTTGGTCATTCTCTCATGGTCTTGAACAGCTGTTGCAAGCATTTCCTCACACAGAGAGCTCCCCAGGGCGCAAGGTCAGGCCCCCTCCTTCAAATGAAATGCAGTACCCTGCAACCGTGCCAAACCATTCAGCAGCAAGTGAAATGGACCTACCATGGCCAATTTAGACTAAATCAATTTCACCATCCCACCTGAATCTGAAAAAAACAAAACAAAAACCAAAAAGCCATCCTTTTTTCTTGACAAAGGAGAAGGAAGGCATGGCTGTTGCCTTGGGGACTGACAGTGCTTGCTTCTGTGTAATATCTGCCACCTAAACTCAGCTAACTCCCAGTTCTTCTTGGACATGGTATCAGTTAGGTTGAGCCTTGGTCTGGGAACTTCTGGGGTTAATTACCTCTGCAGTTTTGCCTTTGGCCCTGCCTTTTAAAATCCTGATTCCCAGACAGGTCCCTGGAGCCTTGTAACTCACAGGTTGGCTTTATAGCTCACCAGTGCCTCCCTGTGGTGAGTCCCACTAGCAGGGCCAGTGGGGAGTGAGGCCCTCAGGCTAACCACTCCATCTCAGGCCCTGGGCTTGATAGCACTGAAATGGAACATTCCCTGGCAGCACTGCCTGGAACCTAGGATTCTGGAAGTGCTCTGCTCCTTTCCCAATCAATCTGCAAAATGTCTCTTTGGCTGCTCCCAGCATGAGGCTGAAGATTGCCTCACCAGTGCTATCTTATAGATAGTGCTATATTCAGTGACACCAGCTCTGCCCTACCCCCACCCCGCACCCCCTCCCACATCTTCTGATCCTGGACTTGGCCTTGGGGAGCAGCAGTCAGTTGCAGACTCTGGGGATAAGGCTGTATTGTGTGTGAGGAGTGTACAGGTAACAGCTGCAGCTCCTGGATCACAAAGATACTTTGAAGTTCACTAGAGGCCATCAGGAGTTAGAAACTTTCCAAATTACCAGCTGAGGCTGCAGGCTGCTATTTTAATTTACCTGCATCTGTACTTGGTTGAGAGAGTTGCATTCTGTGAGCACCTTTCTACAGCATCTTCCTTCCCTAGAGTTCATTCATGGAAAATTTTGCTCCATGCTAATTCATTTGCCTCTTGTGAGCTGACTGATGAATGTTGAAACTAGGTTTTTAGTAATCCACATCAGATTTGACAGGGTCTACTTGTACCTTAAGTTACATGGCTCTAGCAAAAATCTAGGGGCTGTGGATATAAACTGTGGCTTTTTGACTTGGCCAAGAGGAAAGTTCTGGACACCCCAGAGCCTCAAGGCTTTGTTACCCTATTGGTTTTACTGGACCAGCCAAGACCTCAGGCTCCTAGCAGTGGGAGGGTAAGAGTTTGTTTCTGGTTGTTTTACATCTACCTAGTTGAATTTTCAGTGTGAACTTATTTCTGTATAGAACTTGCTAAATTTGGACACATGTATCTTCTACTTTACTTCTATGAAAATATTTGTGCTATTAATTTTACATCAGAGCCAGGCATTTTAATAATGCTTATAATCCCATCTTATAATTACTTAATTTGGGGACATATGCATTTGATAATAATTATAACAGCTCTAGTAATAAACTCGAGAAATAAAATCCCACTTTTTTTTTCATTTGAACCCTGTGAATAACCTGTTTCTATCATATAATTATCCATTTTTTATGTTCAAACTTTATTAGCTATTGATCTTTGCATAAATTAGGTAATAACACCTTGGTGCTATGATGGCCACCATGAACATATGCAGACACATACATACTTGCTATACTAATTTCTGAAGAGACAGACCCACTGCTTCATTTGGAAATTTTACCTAAAGATAATTCAGAGCCGGGTGTGGTGGTACAAGCCCATAACCCCAGCACTCAGGAGGCTGAGACAGGGAGATAAAGAGTTCAAGGCCAACCTGGGTTAAATGGCGAGACACTGTCTCAAAAAAAAAAAAAAGAAAGAGCGAGAGAGAAAGATAATTCAGAAATACTTATCTTTAAAACCTTGCAGAGACTCTATTCAAATTAATGCTTTTCTTTCTCAGAAAAGAAATAATTTGATAGAATTATATTCTTCTATCAAATAATAGAATTATCTTGATTACTGAGTTTTTTTTTACTTAAAATAATATACAATAGTTATTGCTAAAAATCAAGCTTTAGACTGTAATGAAACTAATTCTACCAGGCTCTTTTTGCAGCTGTTTCACTGAAGTTGAGGAATTGTTAAGTGGAGTGACATCACCTGTGTGCCTTAAAATGAACTGAAGCTTCTACCAGATAATTTGTTCATGAAGAATTAGGCACTAGGAAAAATGACTCTGTGTATTATTAAAAATTATAATAATATAAAATATTTTTATGATATTTTCCATTTGGATGACTCTATTTTTGTTGTTGCTGTTCTTCTGTGTTCTAGAAAGGCATACATGAGTGGAATTTTAGTGCTTCCTCTGTCAGGGGCGTGAGGTAAGTTTCCCTGGTACATTTTGTTTCTTAAAAACATTTTTCAGAAATATTTATAGCATGGATAGGAGTTTTAATCATGATTTAAAAAAAAATTTTCAAGAATCTTTTTGTTGGTAGAAATGCCCAGCCTTCCTCAATTTGAACATCAACTAACATCACTGTTAGTTGAACCGACTCACAAAACTGTTGACTTGGGAAAATATGAACTATGACCCAGAATCAAGATGTGGATAAAAGGGAGTCATGTGGGGGTCCTCTCTAGCCAGCTGCACTTTTGGTTTATGTTGTAACATGGTTTTCTGTTCTTTTGGTTACCAGGAACTAATCTCTCTTTGCATGGATACAAAGCACACACATGCCATCTACCAGACTGTGTCCTGCGACCAGTATTAATGGCATGAGATTGTAGGGAATCCATTTTAAAATTTTTTCCCAGGGTCACCATTATTGCATTGTTCTTGAGGTCACAGTCATAAACTTCAGTGCAGTTCAGTTCTCACATTGCTGTCGTAATGCCGATAGCTCTGAAAATGTTATTTCTTGGGAATTCAAAATAAGATGATTTTTTTTAAAGTTAAGTATTCCATAGAAACCCATGCTAAACCAGCTCTTGCAAATTTCAAATTGAATTAGTTGTGTTTACTATTGCTTATCCCTCCATAATAGAAATGGAAGACAGCACATTTCTGCAGGCCAGTTATGCAACATCCTGTTGCTTTTGTAATAATAGTGATTGGTTTTGTTAGAGCAGGAGCTGGCTGAGCAGTGTGAGTCACCAGTCATTTTAATTTGCCTGGTAGAACTACCTATTACCTCATGAATGATCTGAACAAGCAAGATTATAGACTGACTCATTATCTATCTTTCCAGTTGATACCTTCTTAAATAAAGCTTTACTCTCTTTAATATTTAATTTTAAAGGCACCCATTAGCAAGGCACTCATTAATTTTTGCTACAGTTTTCAGAAATCCATTTAGTACAGTGAATGTAAATTTCACTTTACCAGATCCATTTTCTGGTGAATTACTTCTCTTTATTTGGGTGTGGCAGCCCTCCATAACCTCTATGTATGTGATGTATGACACACACATAGAATGCCTCCTTTTGGCTCTTGCTGTTTTATACATGAGGGAAACTCAAGTTCTAGTCTGTGCCTTCAGAGAGAGCTCACTTTTCCTGGCTTCCTCCTCTATAAAGAGAAGATGACAAACTTTGAACAAAATCCAACTAGGTCAGCAGTTTGTCTTGCAGCACCTTAGAATGTGCCCAGCTCAAGTCAGTGGCATTTATTGAGCACTAGCTGTGTGCCAAGTGTTCAGTCCTATTCTGTTAAGGATATAAAAACAACAAAGACATGAACTCACATGTGAAGAGCTCGCAGTCTAGTAGGGAGAGGATTAGACATTTATCAACTAATGACAATACTGTGCGAGATGGACAATGATAGAGCCATACTCAGAGAACAGAAGCACAAGAGGGAGTCCTGTTGATGGTAGAAGGAGGACAGGGAGAGTGCATAAGGTCTCAGCTGGACCTTAAATTAAGATTAGAATTCCTTTTAAAGATTTAAAAAAATTATGTGCATTCCAAATTGAAGAAATAGAAGATTCAAAGGCATAAAATGAGGGATGGCATTATGTTCTATGGACCACATGTGGCCCCTTGCCTGTTCTTACAAATAAAGTTTTATTGGAACACAGTCATCTTCACTCATTTGTTGTCCAAGGCTGCTTCCATGTTCCAAGAGCAGAATTGAGTGGTTTGGCCTGCAAACCCTAAAATATTTTACTATTTGGCCCATTACAGAAAATATTGGCCAACTCCTGACAAAAAACAGCATGATCTAGCTTGTTGTTTCTTGTTGCTCTGATGTAAAGCACTTGGTCAGTCCAAACCAAGTTCTGTTCCATGTTTCTTCACTCCTCTAAAATCTTGGCCACTAATTGAGGTGCTATTGCTGCCCCCACAAATTGTCTTCCTAGCCTTGGAAACTTGGCATTGTTCTGTAGATCTCGGAGACCCAGAATCAACCATGGCCAGCCAGCCAGTTGGTATTTGTGCTTCTCCCTTTAGCACACAGATTACTGCTACAGCCACAGGACCCCTTTCCCTGCTAAATTGTAGGAACCTGCAGTTTCTATGTGTTTACAACATCTCAGAGCAGCCCTGATCTTTAGAGATGAGTAGGAGGACAATTCTCAGAATAGTAAACAATTTTTAGTATTATGGGACGGGAAAGATCACTTTTTAGAGTGCTATTTCTAACATTTTGTTATAAACAGCATTGACATAATCATGAGTACTTATAAAAAGTATTTGTTTTTCATTACAGATCCGTGAAAGTATTGTGATTTCCTGAATAATGGTTTTTCTTGTTTCAGTATTTCTAAATTTGAAGAACGATGCTGTTTTCTTTATGTACTGCACAATTCTGATGATTTCCAAATCTATTTCTGTACAGAACTTCACTGTAAGAAGTACGTATTTGTCGTTACACATGAAAAAGCCTATTCAAAATTGATCATTATTTTTAAGTAGTGGGTAAACATGTAGCCCTGTAGAGGATGAATGGCTATGCAATTATATAAATAGTTTATTAAGGCTGATAGGTTATTATTAGGCAGTCAGAGAAGTTTTGGGGTTCTTTTTAATAAATCAAGCGGCTTCTTAATCATAATTTATTCTCCCACAGACAAAATATTCACCAAGACTTCATGGTTAATTGTGAAATAATGAGTCTCGTTTTTAAATGTTCACTTATGTTACCAAAAATTTCATTCTAAATTTCTTTTGGATAATCTTGCTGTTATCTACAACAGTGCTTCTTGACTCTAGCTCCTATTAACATTACTGGGAAGCATTAAAAAAGTACCTGGGCCCCATCCCAGACTAATTATATTGGAATTTACATTGGGAGCACAGCCTGGGATAAGAGCCAGTGATCTGATCTACATGAATAAAGAAGGTGATTCAAAAATCCATGGACTGCATTGTTGATTTGTGCTGCCCTGCCTGGGTAGTTTCTCTTGGGCTAATTAAATACTTCATACCCTCTTAGACTGATGAAGAGGAAGTAGAGGAGTGAATGACCACTTAGAAGCCAAAGTGTAGGTTGAAAATCAGCTTGAAGTAAAGTTTTATTGCAGATTGTTCTTATTCAAATAATCACTATTTGATCACATTATAAATGACTGGTGTAAAAATAATGTTTGTTTAATCCACAATTCTTGGCTAGAGTTTTATCTTTATTATCACAATATGTGTAATAGAAGGACTGGGAAATGAGAAAGAATTCCTAGCTCCTGTATGGGCTAATTTTCCATTTACGGGCTCAAGACTATGATGTGTTTCTATGATAACTATTGCTGAGATTTCTGGAGTGCTTACCCCAAATTTTGAAGCTATTTTAATCTTTTTTAGGTTGGTAGAGTAATATATTCATTGAAAAGAGCAAAATAAATAGAGTTTGGGGGTGTTAACTATCCCAGTATCATAGCCAGTAGTGTAAAATCAGAGATTTGAACCAGGCACATGTGAGTCTAGAATCCATGCTCCTTAAGCATGTACTGGACTCCCATCCCATCTGTGCCTACAGATGTTCACACTGAGAAGTTTTGCATTAGTCGCTGACGTATATCGTTCATGTCAGATCTTAAACCTTATCTTCAAAGTCAGCCAAATTTTTTAAAAGTTCTTTGTCCTCTTGGTTGAGCTTGCTTTTGTTTCTAATTCATTGTGATATTTACATTTGAGCATACTGTGATGCCAATCAAGTTTGAGAATTTTTTTTCTTGTCATTGACCTCCAAGAAATGTGTAGGGAAAGAAAGAATGAGAAAATAAATACTCTAAAATCACTTTGCTCACTGTCATGTTTCCAATGTTCAGAACAGTGCTTTGATCCTAATAGATACTTAGTGAGTATTTGTTGGGTGGATGGATGGATGGATGGATGGGTGGATAGATAGATAAACTGTATCTGAATTGGAAAATCATCTGAGAAATGTCCTGAATTGTGTTGAATAAACTTGTCACACCACAATGTGCTCTGCCTTTGGGCTATCCTTGCACAGTATGACCTGCATATGAGCTCCACAGCCCTAATTTGTTTTGTTTCCCTTACTTTTATGTGTGAACCACCAGCATCTACTCTGAATGAACTAGACTCAGGGGGCCTGGAGCAAATCTGTTTCTCACTTAATTATATTGCTTGGCTAATATGGTCTCCAGAAATAAAACTTTACAAGGAAAAATATTTACTAAGTAATGTTTTACTAAGGAGAAATGTTTGTCATCAAAAGAGAGGTGGCTCTATCTCCAATGTGTAAGTTTTTCCTAGTTCACATCAGTATTTCACAGACTGTATTTATGGCACCTATATGTATAATACTGAAGTACGTAAGCAGAAGATTTAGTAATGGAGCTCAAATGCTGCACTGGCCAAATAGTCACCTCTGAATTTAGAGATGCTAGATATTGTAGAAGATCCAGAATATAAGTATTTTTGTTATGTTTTTAAATAATAATATTAGTAGCAGCAAAATAATACTAGCTAATATTTATGACTAAACTGTGCTGAGCACTTCACAAATATTACCCTAAATCATCTTCACAGCAACCTGTGAAATAGGTAATTGATACTTCCTGTTTTCATAATTAAGGACTCAGAGAAGTGGATGGGTTTGCATAGGATCACATAGACACTAATAATCCTGTTCTGATTTCATGTTCACATTCTTAATGTTTCTGTGACCCTGTCTTAATTCTACCTGTTTCAATTCTACTTTCTATATTACTGTTGCTCTGTGGTCTATATTACTATTATTTCAAGTGAGGAGTTAGGTCAGAAATTTCTAGAAAATCCTACCAACCTATGTTTACTTTTTGAAAAAAAAAAATCACAGTTTTTACAATGATCCTTATAGTCTATTGCCTAATTATAGAAACTCTCTTAGCTCTCAATTTTTGCTCTGCAGTCACTTTGGGGCATATTTGCTTATACAAACAGTCCCTAACTTTCAATGGTTTGACTTAGGATTTTTCAACTTGATGAGAGTATGAAAGTGATACACATTCAGTAGAAACCATACTCCAAATTTTGACCCTTTCCTGGACTAGTAAGATGGAGCACCATGCTGAGTTATGGCAGTAAGCCACAGCTCCTAGTCAGCCTCACAATCACGAGGGTAAGCAACTAACACTCTCTCGTGAAATGGGTTGCCAGTGTTTTTGGATACAGAAATTCAGTATATCACATGAGCTATTCAACACTTTATTATAAAATAGGCTTTGTGTTAGATGGTTTCACCTAACTATTGGCTGATCTAAGTGTTTTAAGCACATAGAAGGTAGGCTAGGTTAAGCTTAGGACGTTGGCAGGTTTGCTATATTGTGTGTTTTCTACATACAGTATTTTCCACTTAGAATAAATCAAGGAGCATGTGTGTTTAATATATGTGTTATGGATGTTAACTTTCATTGTAGGTTTTTTGAAATGGTGAACACCATTACCGAAGAGAAGGGGAGAAGCACGGAAGAAGGGGACTGTGAAGGTGACTCCCTGGAGGTAATGACTTTAGGTTTTACAAAGTTTCTCTGTGGCTGATTTTTAAAAAACAAACTAGTGAGGGCCTCACTAAAGGAGGGAAGGAGGAGGTGGTTTGTTGATTGTGTGGTGAGACACAGAACGGCTCAGTCAGAGTCTAAATTTTCCTTTAATGTTAAAAGCAACTTCTGGAATTCCTTTAGTGAAAAGGGACTAAAAAAAGCAAACCCTGGCAAACTCTTACTGAGGAGTACTGAGTTTTGTTTAATGAGTACTGAGAAAGTGAGTAACTAGCTTTACCTGTGAGGGTGCCTGTTACCCCCCATGGACTAGGGTCCTTACACTCTTTCCATTCTCCTCTGATCTTTGTGCAATTCAGACACACAAAACTCAGTGGAGATTGTGGATGATAGAGCCCTGGTGGGCCTCATTGGTATGATGCACACATGAAAGTTAATGAAATAAAAAGAGGCAGGAAACAACTACCCCAAAATGTTGTTCCTCTATGGAATCATTTTACTTATGCCTCATGAACACAGCACTGTATCAATACCAACTTGTAGTGCGTGTCTGTTTTCTCTGCCATGTCTACTGTGTGTAGAAGAACCTCCCAGCACTGCAAAGGTCAGTGCTGGATGGAGTGTTGTGAGTACCGACTTTGAACTCTAACATTTTCAGTGTCTGAAGGACAGTACTTCTCCAGGCAGGACTGCTGGCCACCATTTCCTCCAAGCCCTTCCCAGTATTTGATGTGGGGCAGAACTCTGAATCTAGGAGTCTTGGTTTATATGGGTTATTATAACAAAATACTTTAAACCTGGTGCTTATGGACAACAGAAATTTATTTCCCACCATTCTACAGGCTGTGAAGTCTGAAATGAAGGAGCTGGCAGATTTGATGTCTGGTGGGGGCCTGTTCTACATAGATGGCACCTTTTTACTGTGTGCTCACATGGTAGAAAAGGCAAGGTAGCTCTGTGTGATCTCTTTTATAGAGCCACAATTACCACTCAAGGGGGGCTGCCCTCATGCCGTAATACCTTCCCCAAATACAGCCTAATCCATCACCATGGGCATTAGGATTTCTTTTTCTTTTTTTCAGTTTCCATAAGTTTTTTTTTTCTTAATCAGATCTTTTGAGCATTAAACTTATCTTCATTTGGAGATTAGGATTTCAATATACAAATCTGGGGAGAACACAAAAATTCAGTCTATAGCACCAACCAATATTTAAAATTATATTTTTAATGTAAAACTAAGGAAACTATAGATCACCAGCCTGGTCAGTATGCTTACTTATTATACCATCTTGATGATTTTTATGTCATACACTGAACTTTTTATAAAAATATTCTAGCAGTTGATGGAAAATTTAAATATACTAACCAATTATCAACCTGCCTGTCATTAAACCCTAATTATCTACCAGTTGTATTGCTTTGATATTGTTAGGTAAGTTTTCATTAAAGCTATAAAAATATGATAGATCTAGTTTGAAAAAAATTCCTAATGTATTAGCTTGCTGTATAGAACCAATATTAGTACTTATTCACATATATTTTGTATTTTATGCTTTTTTTCTTGGTAGTACTGGGGTTGGAACTCAGGGCCTTATGCTTGCTAGGCAGGTGCTCCTTCCCTTGACCACCCCCCACCAGCCCTAATACTTTTATACTTCCTTATAGAAGAGACTAAATCTCTTAGCTCTTACTTCAGTGCTCTTTTGACTTCTCATTATCTATGTTTTTATTTGTGTTAAATTTAGTATCACTGATACACAGCAATTGTCAGGGTAAAAGATAATGAGAATGAAACAGTTCTGTCAATAGTATAAAATTATGAGGGGATTAGACTGGAAAATCCATAAGGTCTTATGCAATGTCACATGTTGTTGGCTTTTTTCTGTTCCTTTTTTTTTTGTGGTACTGGGATTTGAACTCAGGGCCTACACTGTGCACCACTCCACCAGCTCTTTTTTTGTGATGAGCATTTTTGAGATAGGGTCTTTCGAACTATTTTCCCGGGCTGGCTTCAAACTGCAATCCTCCCGATCTCTGCTACCTGAGTAGCTAGGATTATACAGGCATGAGCTACCAACATCTGGCTCTTTTATTTCTCTTTTAAACCAGCAATATTTTTTATTTTATTCCTTCCAAAGGAGCTAAGGGCATTTTACCAAAAATATATGTTTACCATATTAGACAAGGATGATTTTTATAATTGATTGGATCAGCAGTTTGGGGACCCTATTCTAGGAGCTACTTTAACTACCTGGACAGAATAGCAAAGCTTTATTTGCCTTAGAATTTGTAATGAATTTCTCTAGCTGATTTTTTCCTAGCCTCAGTCTTACATGATGTAAGAGGCGGGGTAGATCACTCTCCAAAGAACAACCAAGAGCATCCAGGCTCAACATCCTCTGATCTGTATATTCAGAAGTAGCGTATGAGGTGGGTGCTTGTGAGAGACTCTTTCTACTTAGGCAATCCTATGGCAAGCACTGTGACCAACCAAATAAGGGAAATGCTAAGGTTTCTCCTTAGGAACATCCAGAGGGTTTTGGTAAAATCTGCTGACTCCACAAAAACCAGTATATATATATATATATATATATATATATATATATATATACTCCCCTTCTCCAGTAGGTGCACAGATGCTGTTCTTTTAATTTAGAAAACATCCTTACACTTCTGTCTCAGACACAGAATGACATCTACAGTATTCCCAATGGACTTAAATAGACTATTTGAAGAGGTCAGTATCCTTGTTTTGTGAGTTTGGGCTTTGTTTGCCATTACGCCATGCTAAGTGATTCTGCTGATTCTTTCCTCCTGGGTGTTCTGTTAGTGTAGCAATGAATGTCTACAGTGATGTTCTAGGCTGCAGGATGGTGAGACTACCTTGGCTGTTCTCTCACTGTCCTTTCATGGCCATGCTTATCAGTTGTTATTAAGCCTTAACATTTATTTTTGCATAATTTATGATAACTCACCATTAGGATTTTGTTTTGTTTTTCCAGTATGAGGGATTGAATCCAGGGCCTCAAGCACTCTACTTTCTGAGCCATATCTCCCAGCCCATTTATTTTTATTTATTTTTTTTTTTTAGGTCGGGTCTCAATAATTTTGCCAGGAATAACCCTAAACTCACAATCCTCCTGCCTCCACCTCCCAAGTATCTGGGATTACAGGTGTCTTCCACCATGCCCAGCTGCAATTATGTATTTGATCGAGTTTCTTAGATATTTTTGACCTTTTCCATTTAAATTATTTTATCAGAATGTTAAATATTTGATTAAAATGAGCTCAAGTTCATTCATAAGCTGAATTCAAATTTTATTCCATGAATGATATACCAAAAATAATTCCTCTACTTCCCACCTTTATGCTACAAACAAGAATTACCTTAGACACCATCTTTATACGATTGAGATTTGTATGAGAAATTAAGAATGATTAATTGTTTTCTAGAATAATTAAGAATGGTTAATTATTTTCTAACAATTTTAATTAAAATTGTTTTTATACAGGTACCAATTATTCTTAAAGCCTTTGGGTACCTTGGGCCAAAATGAAATCAAAGTTTTGGAAAGGACAGGTGACCAGAGTGCTCTTCAATGTGTTTATCTTCAGTTAGGGAGGTGTCATCGTTCAAAAAAACTTTAACTATTAATGTGGTTCTAGAAACTGCAAATCCATCACTAACCCCGGGTTAGATTTCCTGCCATTAAAAAAACTTCTTCGAGGCCCAAGTTAGGATCTGTTTTTTTTTTTTCCTTCTGATTTCAATGTTTCTTTGAAGCAGTGTAGTTGTGGGATGGACTCAGCCTCCTTTGATTCATAACCAGAGCCTTCCTCCATCAGATCAGATCAGATCTACTGAAATCTCCAAGCTGAGGGCAGGAGCCCCAGGTTCTGGTTCTAGCTTTGCCAGTTTCAGTTTTATAACTTTGGACAAAATTCATGCTGCTGAATTTTGTCCAATGCTAAGATGGTTTCGTTTCTTAAATTAGAGCTGAGCAAGAAGATAGTTTCCCAGCTTTACTTTTTAAAATAATTTTCCAGATTAATACAAACTATACAAGGTTATTTCAGAGATAGCTCAGTACCATTTCTCAAAGAAGGACTTTTCTGTTTTATAGATATAGTTCCTTTTGATTCAAGGACGTGTATTTTGACTCAAGGCTGTGGTTTGTCATGAAAAGGTTATGAATGCATAATAAATAAATCAGTGTGTTAATAAATTTCTTCTGAAGTCATCAAGGAATTGGTTACAGCTAATTCCTAGGCTGTGCTACAGTTAACATTTACTAGCTGTGGTCTATATTGTTCTTCTTCCTGCCTTCCCTATATTAAGAGCAAGGACATTGCCAAGTGCCAGTGGTTCATGCCTGTAATCCTAGCTACTTGGGAGGCTGAGATCTGGAGGATTCTGGTTCAAGGCCAGCCCAGGCAAATAGTTCACAAGACCCCATCTCTGAAATAATCAGAGTAAAATGGACTTGAGGTGTGGCTTAAGTAGTAGAGCACCTACTTTGCAAGCATGAAGCCTTGAGTTCAAACCCCAGACCCACAAAAAACAAACAGACAAGGACATCTATCCAGTAACCCAAGCCAGACCCCTGAGAGAGACCTCTGCCCCAGCCCCTTAACCCTTACACCTGCCTTTCCTCTAGGCTCTTCCTATCCTCCTCTCTGTCACTCTGCTGCTGGCAGCTCTTAATCACCTTTCACGTGGCCCGTCCCTGTCATCTGTGGAGAGATCTCCAGATTTAGTGCCAGAGCTCTCCAAATTAAAAATCTTTCTTTGCTACTATTTGCAGAAGGAGCATTCTCTGCCATATGACACAAAAACCCCTAGCTTTTTCTCCCTTTCCTCTCCACCCCATGGTCTAACAGTGCCAAATCCTTCCTGTTTCCCAGCAGCTGGCCTTCCTCGCTTGCTTCTGGGCTTGACAGGCAGACACCAACTCCACAGCTCTCCTGCTCTGTCACACTTGGTGACCATATCCTTTTGTC